ATGGTGGTCTATCCTGTGCTTTCCTGCACTGCCTCCCCAGTGTTGATTCTGACAAATGGTGGTCTATCCTGTGCTTTCCTGCACTGCCTCCCCAATGTTGCTACTGACAAATGGTGGTCTATCCTGTGCTTAAAAACCCCCCAGTGATAGTGAATCTGCCCATTCCACTTGGGAGCAACTCTAAATAATTGGGATACTTTTCTTTCTATTGAATAGAAATCTGACTCTTTGTACCCCAATTCATCCAACCTGTGTTCTATGGACCCAAAAAGAACCAATATAAACTCTCCTTCAACATAGCTGCCTTCAAACCATGGAAGACAACTATTATATCCCCCTAAATATTATGTTTCCAGGTTAAACACTCCCAGCTCTTTCCATTAACCTCATTTGGTCTGATCTTCAGGCCCTTCCCCAATCTGGGCACCTAACCCTGGACACATTCCAACTTGTCAGTGTCCCAGAATATGGCCCCCAGAATCCTTATAGCTTCACTTCCCAAAATCCTATGGAAGAGGACCTCTGGAATATAGGGCACCCTCAGAGATACCTGGGTAGAGGGCTCAGCCCGGGGGGTGGGGTCTTTGGACAGCTAGGGGTCAGGATGAGAGCACTGGATACCTAAGGAAGAGAGCAAGGAGATGCTAGGAAATGGGTAGTGGTAGAAGAGGGTGAGAAGGAAGAGCAGCATACTTGGTCTTGCCAATTTTGCAGAAAGACCCTGATAGCAGTGATCACCTCATGTGTCTTCAAAAATCAGCTGCCATCAGCATTCATTAGTTGGCTACTATGTTCCAGGCAGGCAGCTAGGCCCACAAACAGTCATATGTGACTGAACAACAACTACAAATGTGTCTGGCACCTTGCTAGGTACTGGGGACACAAAGACAGTCCCTGCCCTCTAGAGGTTTACATTCTATGAGGGGAGACAACACATATACATGTAAACACATAGACAAACTGAGGTTAAGGGCAGAAGGGTGCCTCACACATGTCCATCCTGGCTCTGGGGGGAAGCCAAGGCTGGCAGGTCTCTTGCCTCAGGAGTTCTGAGCTGCAGTAGGCCGAGGCAATTGGGTATCTGGCATCAATATGGGCATCCCCCGAGAGTGGTGTGGAGGTGAAGGGGTCCTAGGCTGCCATAGGAGGGACGAAACAGCCTGGAACAGAAACAGACCAAGCCAAAGCTCCTAGGCCAATCGGTAGGGGGGGTTAGCCCCTGTACTTCTGGGCAAGATAGGGAGACCAGTCTGAGAGGGAAAAAATATTGGAAAAAGAAAACCACTCTGACTCTGGACTCAGAGCCCCTAGGTTCACATCTCGCCTCTGCCACTTGCTATTAGTATGACCTTGGCCAAGGGACTTACACTCCCTGGGCCTCAGTTTCCTGTTCTGTAAAATGAGATGACTGAACACTCTGACCTCTGGGTCCCTTCCAGCCTTAGATCTACGATCATAGATTTGTTGTGCTGCTTTGGACTTAGCATTCAGCGTCTACTCTGAGGTTTCTCTGAGTTTCATTTGATGAGTTCCCAGAGGGAGCCTGGTCAGGGAGGATTCCACCCCAGACTAAAGCATATGTGTTCTAGTAGAAGGTACGTTTCCTGAAGGCAGATACTGTTTGTTGACTTTGTCTCTGCATCTCTGACATCTGTCACAGAGTAAGCTAAATAAATGCTTGTGGGGTTGAATTGGATGTACACCCAGCTGGAATTGGTTCCCCCATCTCTCCTTTAAGCCTTAAATCTCTGCTGTTTCATTTGAAGTCTTAAATGTCTGCTAAGCACCCACTAGGTATGAGGGAATGTGAAGGATAATGTCTTTTCTGATGAGTCCTGAGTGGAAATCCATTGACTTTCATGGATTTCTCTACAGAGGGAGAGAAGGAGAGTGTGCCTTAGAGGCAACAGCCCTTTGAGATGAAGTGGAGAGACAGAAGTGACTCAGACACCTCCAAGAAACATTGATTTAGAACAGAAAGAACCTTAGAGACAAGAATCCAAAGTCAGATTCCAGGAGGTTCATGAATTTGGATGGGGAAAAAATTATATCTTTATTTTCAGTAACTTCTGACAACTTTGCACAACCTTCACTTATTTAAAAACATCATTCTGAGAAGGGATCCATAGGCTTCACCAGACTTCTAAAAGGGTCCACGACCAAAAAAAAAAAAAAAAAAGGGAAAAAGGTTAAGAATACCTGATCCAGTCCATTTCACAGATGAGGACACGGAGGCTCCGTGAGGAAGACCCCCAGTCTTGAGTTCTGATGTCTGCTTGATGATCACTCTGCCTTAGTCTTACGCTCTTCTACTTTAGGAAATATTAGGGGGGACAGTCTGGAGTTACCCAAAGGAGCGTAGGCTCTTTGCTGGAGGGTGGATTGGTCACTCCCACTTCGTCAGAGCAATGGGGACATTGTGGCTTTGGATCACCAGAAGCCTTGTCTCCAACCCCACCCTGGAGAGTCCCGGCATTGTGGACTGGGTTAGGTGCTTAGTTCCTGCTTGTATTATTCTTAGGGACCCCAGGCACTGGACTCACATGGGAATTTTTGAGGGTTTGCTCATTTGTCCAACTTCCTCCTTCAGCTCCTTCACAAACCACCTGCCTATCGGCTCACTTGAAGCTAAGAGCCACCCAAGAGGAGCTAACTTCCTTCCCTGAAGGGGCCTGAAGGAGAGAGAGAGCAAACAGAAAGTGTGGCAATTTCTCCATCTCAAAAGATTTCAAAGGCTCTGAGATCTGGTTCCTGGAAGGCTTAGGTTGAAGGGTGAGAAAGGTACTACCTCTTCTTGGGTCACAGCCTGGAAAGCCCTCTGCCCACCCCACCCACAGCTGATAAAAGAAGAAGTTAAAAAAAAAAAAAGCTCAGGTCTTCTTACCTTCACGAAGGTCAAGTTCACAGATCCACCTGGGAAAGTCAGGAGAAGGTTGCTTCTCTGGGGACCACAACTCCCTGATGCTCGAGTCACATTGGGGTCGAGATTGAAGTACATTTGAGATGACTGATACTAAGCCGGAGAGAGACAGATTATCTCAGCGAAATGGGAAACAAGATGCAGTTTCTTAGGCGTCCTGTACTGCCCTACCTCCCACCCCCACTCCGTCTCAAGCAAGCTGGGTCCCTTGTGCAGCCCAAGAGCAACAGGTCAGGCTTTAATCTGACGGGCTCACCCGGGAATTCCAGCTATGTCCATGAAACAAAAGAGGAGCATTGGTTCAGAACTTGAACGTCCCTTCAAGGTTATTTATCGACTCCGGAGAGTCTTAACCTTTTTTTTGTGTGTTAGGGACCCCTTTGGCAGTCTGATAAAATCTATGAACCCCTTCTCAGGATCATTTTCTTAAACAGTTCAAGGACATACACATTTCAGTTAAAGGTCCATGAAAATAAAGATGTAATTTCCCCCCCATATACAATTTCATGGATCCCCTGAAATCTTTCTAAACCCTTTGGAGGTGCAGGCCTCCTGAAAGTTAAGAATGTCTGATCTAGTCCAACCTCCTCAGTTTATAGTTGAAGAAACTGACCTTGCCCAAGGTCACACAGGGAGTAAATGGCACAGGGAGGATTTGAACTCTGATCTTCCATTTCCAAAGCCAGCACTCTTTCCACTATATCCAGTTGCTTTTTTCAAAGTCAAGTATAGCAGGGAAGGAGTGCAGGGGATAGAATGAAGGACTTGGAGACAGGAAAACTTACTAGCTTTGTGATCCAGGGCAAGTCACTTACCTCAGCCTCAGTTTCCTCATCTGTAAAATGGGGATAATTATAATTCTTAGCTCATAGGCTTGTTGTGAGGATCAGATGAGTTAACATATGTAAAGCGCTTTACAAGTCTTCAAGTACTACGTAAATGCTAGCTATTATTATTACTATTATTGTTGTAATTATTATGGTAACATCCCAATGCTGTGTACTGAATGAATCCACTTACAGGGGTCTCACATTTCATGCAATCTGCAATCAATATGTTTACAAAAAGTTACGAGAAAATTCTAATTTTTGTCAATTGACTGATAATGTAGGTGCACTGGGAGAGCTTGCTATCATTGAGGATCTCAGAGGAATGCTAGTCCTATTCCTACCTTATAGAGTTGAGGAGACTGAGGCCTGCCAAGATGGAATGTCCTGCCTAAAGTCTCACAGGGAGGAGGTTGCTAAAGCCGGGATTTGAACCCAGACCCCTGGACTCCAGAGTCCATATTTTTCCCACTCTGCCATGCTGATTCTCATCCACAAGAGACCTTAGAACTCATCGGGGTTATCCCTCTCATCTTATCGTTGGGGGAGCTGCAAGCCAAGGAGGATGACTCAGTCGTCATCAGAGGTCAGCGGTCAGCTATTGGCATAACAAGGGACGAGAGCCAAGACCCCCATGGCTGGACCAGCATTCTTTCCACTAGGCCACACCATAGCTTTGATTTAATTTAAAGTGAATTTTAATTTAAAGAAGTACACATGGATTTAATTTTCTGGGGTAAAAAATGTCCCTCCTCAGGATATTTTTTTACTCACTTTTAGAAACCAATTAGGATTTTAGTTGAGCAGGATTTCAATTGCTACGAAGTATTTAACTTTCTAAGAGGTAATGCATGGTGGGTGGAATATAAAGCTTGAAGTCAAGGAGACAGGTTCAAATCTTGCACGTGACATTCATTAGCCATGGGACACAGCAGAGATGTAAATGGTCAATAACCCACTTTCCAGAGGGAAAAAAAGACCCATTTTTAAGTTTAAGCTGAATGATTAATATTTTCCTCTTCTCTTTTTTGAAGTCTAGACCATTAACAAAGCAATAAAATCAAGCTCTGATTTGTAGTTTGCCTATTTTTGAAGAGTAAATGCTCACGCAGAAAATTTAACAATTGGCTCTCCCCAGTCTTTTGAGCTGGCCCTAGCACGTCTCTGGACTCCGGATAAGCCTCTTGACCTGGGAGCTTCAAGCTACCGAACTCAGACCATTTACCTACCAAGTTATAAATGGGAGGAAATTCTCCTTCATTGTATTTAACTTTATATTACAGGTTGCTCAAGAAGGTCCCTTTCAAAGAAGGCAAAAACCTCTCATCCCTAATGAAGGATCCAAGACCATCCCCAAGCCTTCCCCTTCTTCTGTCCCCAGCCTTACCGTCTTCTTGTCCTGAATGAGCAGCTGCACTCCCATGTCAGCTTTCATGCATGCCCTACTTCCATTGTAAACCAGATAGGTCCCGGTTTGAGGGGATGATGGCTGAGGGACAAGAGTGGGCCCCACAGTTGTCATGGTTGATGAAATTGTGGCGGTGACATGGTGTGTGGTTGTAATGCTGATAACCTGGGTGGTCTTTCCCTTGGCTGGGATTGTGGTCCTAGGTGTTGTCAGGGAGGTCTGGTTGTCCGGCGGGGTCGATACTGGAGCCATTCCTAAGGTTGTGCGACTAGCTGTTGACCCAGTCGACATGGTTGTCTGGGCCATGGGTGTGCTTGACCACTCTGTGCTAGGTGTGGTGGTGGATGACCCAGGAGGAGCTGGGGTGTCTGTATTCCCCATGGTTGTGGTTTGGGTGCTGTCTTGCAGGACCTTAGTAGTTCCGTCAGTGAGGGTTGTCAGACCAGATGACCGCGCGCTTGTCCCGGTAGAGTGAGTGGCTATCGTTTTCAGGGTTGCCTGAGTTATTTGCCAGCTGGAGGCAGTGGCGTAGCTGTCTGTTGCTTCCGTTCGGACTGTGTTCTGGGAGGCATGGCTGGTCGGGTGGATGAGGGAAGTTTCTGTGGTGCCGTGGCCTGGGTATCTGCTGACATCTACCAATTTCCTATTCATTATACTGCTGTAGTAGCTCCAAATTACTGCAAATAAGGAAATGGATGGGTTAAAAGATGATCACCGATCTGGGACTAGAAGGGATTTTAGAGGTCATCTGATCCAACCTCTTTATTTTACAATTCAGGAAATGGAGGCCCATGGAGGTGATGCAACTTACCCAAAGTCACACAAGTAACCTGGATTTGAACTCAGGCCCTATTACTCTAAGCTCAGCTTTTCCCATGGCACTGTGCTACCCCGTGACAATCCTGTGATTTTTTTCCACAACCACTAAACATTTTATAAAACAATAATGTGGCTAAATGTCAAATCTTTAGTCTCCCTCGACCCCTTCCCCAATGGAGTCACTCTCTCCTCACCACACCCGAAACTTAAACCTGGAATTTTGGCCCACAAACATCACTCTCTGTGCTTGCTTATCAAGGATCCACCTGGAACAGAGGGATTAATGTAAGTACTACGGACAGCGGGACCAGCAAAGAAGTGATAAACAGCTGAGGTGCTGAGTGTCTTGTCAAGAATCCAAGCCTCAATCATACCACTATTCCTGGGGAAAACCAGATGCTCTTGGTAACAATTTTCTGATTGGGGATAGCCATCTTGTTATCATTATCATTGGTAAATGAACAAGAGGGGAATATTGATTGGAAACAACATTATGCCCATTTTACAGGTGAGGACTCTGTGACTGAGAGGTTAAATGATTTGCATAGGTTCTTGTAGGTAATGTCTGCAGCAAGATGTGAACTCATGGGTTCTAACTCCAAGTCCAACATGATTCACTAGGCAACCTAATTGCCTATACGTATTTAACCCTATATAAAATAGTTACAAAGTAATGTGAGGGAGGGGTGAAGAGGGCGCTAGCATCTGGGGACATCAGTAAAGGCTTCGTGTAAAAGATGGTACTTGAGCTGAACTAGTTTTGAAGGGAAAAAGGGATTATGAGAGGCAGGGATGAGGAGGGAGTGCATTCCAGGCAGAGGGGACAGATAGTGCAAGGACTTGAAGGTGGGAGATGGACAAAAGGCAAAAAGCCAGTGTGGCTAGGCTACCGAGTGTGAGAAGGGGAGTAGTGTATAGAGAGGCTGAAAAGTTAGATTGGGGTCAGGTTGCAAAGGCCTTCCTATCTACTCTTCTTCCGCTTTGTAGCAAAGAGGAAGTTATATATTCCTAAATAAAGAGACTCGCTGGTTTGTATGTACAAAGCTCCGAGAGCCCTGCCAACCAAGTCTGATTTCCATCCAAGTTCACATAATTTTCACCAGCTTCTCCTACAGGGATGGGCTCAATAACTTCATTAAGAAACATAAACTGAATTTCTCTTTCTACTGTAGCAAAATTTTTACTTCTACGAAGGGCATTCATTTTTAAGTCCTTGCCCCTTACATAGATTGTCCCAAGACTCTCTGAGCTATTGAATGATCCGCTAGGATCCTGCCAATAAGAGATCGCCTTATGGCAGGCTAATATAATGACAAGTGGACCAGAATTTCTTGTATGCTGTTGGACTGGAGGAAAATGTTTTCCTATACCATTTCACTTAAAAGTGGCTGCACTATTTTGGGCTAAGATGTAGTTTTTTGTTCTCTGAGCAATGTGAATCAAGATCTGAAGAGGGAACATTCTGTCTTTTCTTCTTTGTCAATAATATCCGGCTTAATTATAGCAAAGGTTCTTTCTGCATAAATCTGAGGTGGGGGCTGGTGACTCTGTACAGCCCTCCCTCACTTAAATCCAATTCACTTGTAAGTCATGGCATCACCTTCTTGATGTCATGGTCCTCTTCTAGAATGAGGTGGAGACTTTCTGGCTTTTTAGATCAATTTAAAGTTTCTTGCTGAGTATGAACCACGATTTCTCTATAGTTTCACTGGGAAAGTTGGTGACCAAATTGGGGTCTTCTAACATGCTGCAGGTACCCAGACAGTCTTTTCCCACAGATTGTTATCTTGATCACTCCCACTAGACCTATAGAGATTAAATGGACAAGATTTGAGACTAACTGTGCAGGATCCAAATGGTGGCCCTCCTTCTGGATGAAGAGAAAGTGCCCTTTTAATGACACTTTTCAAAAGGAATATTTTTGGTTACCATGAGTTCCAACTTTTGATTTGGAAAACATGGTCATATGGTCAGATCCATACTTGTGACTTATGGCCAACGTTGGGTAAGAAGGGCTCTTTTATTCCTCTGGAGTCCAAGAATAGCTAGTTTCCTGATCACTTAGGGGCCTGCCCCAGAGTTCACGGAATGGACAAAGAAAGTGGAAGGAAGTGGAGAGGAGAGAGAGAGGGAGGGCAGAGGAAGGGGCACCACTTTACAGTTTTGTTTAGCGCCCTGGAATTTAAATTTAAATAAACTGGGAAATCAGTTGTTTGAGAAAAAAAGATTTAAATTGTGTCAGCTCATCTAGGCCTACTGATCTGACTGGTGGCCTCTCTTAAATATTGAGAATCAAAATCAAATGCTCACTGCCAAAGCCAGACTGTAGAGAAATAGCTTATCCTCCTTGGGCCTCAGTTTCCTCATCTACAAAATGACTTCAGATTAAATGGATTCTGAGGTCCTTGCTGACTCTAAATTCATGATTTTATGACCTTAGAGATTTAATTCAATTCAAGTCAACAAGTTTTTATCAAGCCCCTTCTATGTACCTAATACCAAGCTAGATGCTGGGTCTGTGGAGAAGAACATAAAATAGATCCTGCCTTTAGGCAGTGGGGTGCAAAGGGGTGCCGGGGGGAAGGATGGCATGTACACAGAGAAGTCAATGCCAAAATATATACAGAATAAATACAAGTAATATAGAAGAAATACAAAGTAATATGGGGGGCTGGGCATTAATAAGTGCAGGATTAGGAAAGGCGTCTTGGAGAGGGTGATAATTGAGCTAAGTCTTAAAGGAAACCAGAGGATCCAATGCCTTCCATTCGTCTCAAGGGCTCTGAAGTGTTACCAGGAAGGGGCAGTCTTTGTGGACACTCCTCTACCTGCCTTTACTTGCCTTGGTTAAGCATTGGCTCAGCTCCTTGGCTGGTGGGCCCTCCAGCAGTCCACCAGCCAACCTGGGCACCCACATCAAATCAAGTCAACAAGCATATATCGAGTACCTACTATTGCCAGACACTGTGCTAGGTGGTGAGGATCCAAAGAAAGGCATAAACAGGCCCTACCCTTAAGGAGATCACAAACATGCAGACAGTGATGTATGGACAAAGGAGAGACAGGACAGATTGGAGGTAATCTCGGAGGAAAGGCACGAGCATAAGGAGAATTGGGGGAGGCTTCTGCAGAAGGTGGGATTTTCAATGAGACTAGAAGGAGGCTAGGGGATAGGGGTGAGGAGGGAGAATTCCAGTCACGGGGGACAACTGGTAAAAATGCAATCAGGATGGAGTGTCTTGGTTTATAGAGTGTTGATATCATGGATCAACCTTGTTTGTTATAATATTTTTCCCCATACAGATTCATGGACCCCCTGGAATCAGATCTTAGTGTCACTGGATCCTAAATTATGCAGAGGGAATTAAGGTCTAGGAAGATTGGAAAGGTAGAAAGGAGGCAGATCATGAAAGGCTTTAAAAACCAAAAGAGGATTTTAGATTTGGTCCTGGAGGTGATAGGGAGCACCTGGAGTTTACTGAGTAGGAGTCAGGGAGGGTAGGACACGGTCACATCTATACTTTAGGGAAATTGCTTTGATATCTGAGTGGAAGATGGACAGGAGTGGGGAGAGACTTGAGGCAGACAGACCAAACAGAAGGCTATTGTTATAGTCCAGGACTGAGGTGATTAGGGCCTGTGGCAAAGAGGTGAGGAGATATATACAAGAGATGATGTGAAAGTAGAATTGATGGGATTTGGCAACAGATTGGATTTGAGGGGTGAGAAATAGCAAGGAGTCAAGGATGACACCTAGGTTGTGAGTCTGGTTGACTGGAAAGATAGTGGTGTCCTTGATGGCAAGAAGGGAGTTGGGAAGAAGGGAGAGTTAGGAGGAAAAGATAATGGATTTAGTTTTGGACACGGTGGGTTTAAGATGTCTATGGGACATACAGTTCAAATGTCCGATAGACTCTTGGAGATGCAACATCAGAGGTTAAGAGAGAGGTTGGGGCTAGATAAGTAGATCTGAAAATCATGTATCTAGAGATGATGACTGAATGCATGGAAACAGATGAGATCACCAAGTGAAATAATATAGATGGAGAAGAGAAGAGTTCCCAGGCCAGAGCCTTAGAGGATACCCATGGCTAGAGGATGTAACCTGCTCCAAGATCCAGTAAAGGAGAATAAGAATGAGCAAATACACTACAGGTGGGAAGAGAACCCAGAGAAAGCAGTGGAACGAGAACCTAGAGAAGAGAGTTTCAAGGATAAGAGGCTGATTGACAGTGTCAAGGGCTGCAGAGAGGTCAAGAAGGATGAAGATTGAGAAAAGGCTTTATATTTGATAACTTGCCAATCTCTCTCTCTCTCATACACACACACACACACACACACACACACTCTATGTGATATATATGATGTGATATGGTATATTATATATGATACATACTATATATGTGTATATATACATATACATATACATACACACACAGATATATACATATATATTCCATATACAGATGTGTATGGAGGCATATTCCACACCAGGAATTCTCCACACTGATGAAATCACAGGCCATAGGAGTTGGAATGGACCTTAGAAGTCTTAGAGTCTAACAACCTCATTCACAGATGAGGAAACTAAGGACCAAAGAGGAATCCTCAGTTCATAGGCTGGAAAGAACCTTAAAAACTACCTAGTCCAGTTCTGTCATTTTATTGATGAGAAACAGGCCCAAAGAGGTTGAGTAATTGGCCCAAGGTTAGTTAAGTGGAAGATCAGAGTTTCAGATTTGAAAGGGACCTTAGAGGTAATTTAATCCAACCCCTCATTTTACAAATGAGTAAACTGAGGCCCAAAGAAGTTAGATAATTTGCCCAAGGCCATACAACTGGTAAGCGATAGATAGTAAGTGATTAATTTAGATTAAGTGAACAGTAAGTTAGACTCAGAACAACAACCTTCTCTCTACGGACACCTTCCAACCCACCCAACCAACCAACCAATTCAACTGCTATCTATTCAACTGCTAAACTTCTTTGTTACAAAGACTTCTAACCTCCATTTTGGGGAAACTGGAAAAAAGAGGGAGCTGAAGAAACTTACATGCCCAAGGTCACAAGGCCCAGGTTAACTTCTCCAACTCCCTGATCCCCCTCTTCTCAATCAGATGACCCATCTAAGCTGTCCTTGCGCCATTTCATGTAGTGATTAGGACCATTTCTGTCTGACAAGTTAGCCGAATAAGAATTTCTCTGTCTAGTTTACAGGGCTGTAGGAAAAGAAAATGTGAGGATACATGAGAAAGTTCTGTGAGAACCCCTAAGGGCATCATTCCTGAGATGCACAGGTCTTGGAGCAGAAATGAAGCCTCCTTGAACCAATGATATGATAGCACAGGTCAAGTTGTAGGATAATCAACCAAGATTTGGAAGGGGCTTCAGAGCCCCTTACTGTGATGAGGACATTACCAAAATGTGGTATCCTACCCATCCTATCCAGCCATCCAGTTGCCCACCCAGGCCCTCTCACCCATTGCCTCACACCATCCTCTTAACCCCTCAGACCTGCCTCCTCCCATATTTTGCCCCAGACACAGTTATCAAATCAATAGTGCCATTACTTCCAGAAATGGCATGTCATATGCATCAGCTCACCATGTCCGTGACTCCCCAGACCAAAGCTTCCTTCTCTGGTCACCACCTCCCAGGTGCATTGTCTTTCCCTATTAGGATGTAAGCTTGGAGAGAAGCTGGGCACTTTGTGTATTTGTAACCCCAGAGCCTAGCACGGTATCCTGCACAAAGTGAGTGCTTAATAAAAACATGTTCATTCCTTCATTCCCCAAAGTCATATAGGTAGTACATATCAGAGCTGAGGATCTTCTGAATCTATATATAAGCATTTTTTTCCATTGTGTTAGTGAGTGTCTTTGCCTTGACTTGGCCACAAGCATATAGGATCATAGTTGTGATTGAGAGATAGAAGAGAACATTGAGGTCATCCCTAAATCCAACCCTTTCTTTATAGATGAGTATAAAAGGACTTACATGAAGCCACATAGGTAGTAGCTGGGTTTTCAATTCAGATCCTCTATTCCAAATTCAGTGTTTTCCCCCCACTGTACCCCATTGCCTCCAGTAATATCAGGAGATAGTTAGGAGAATGCCCTGAATCACTTATTCCATGTTACAGTATTGTCAGGGTATATGTAACTCACCGGCAGAGAAGACAAGTATTGGCAGCACCACTAATGCTTTCTTCATGACTGGGCTGGAATGGTCCTCGGGATGGCTGTAGGGAAGGTTCACTGCTGCTGCCTCTCCTAGGCTTCCCCTAGTTTAAAACTTAAAACCACACACTTTGTGCTCCTGAGAAGTCACATGAGCACGAGCAGGAAGAGGCAGCTTTAGTCCCACATACTTCAGAAGTAGCTGATGAAAGTGAAAGAGGTCCGTGGAGTTTTCCAGGGCCTCCTCTTCAATTAGAAACCAGAGTCAACAGGGTCAAGGAACTCTCTATGGCTCTTGTGGGACAGAAACTGCTTTTCATCAAGGCTTTTAGTGTTTGCAAAGGAGGACAAACCCACGTCCCCCAGGGGCTTAAGCACCTGAGCTAAACACTTGGTGGAGAGCTGGACTCAGGCTTCACCAGCTTCCTTCTCACTTATCATGGGCTCTCCTTTTCCTCAAAGTCCTTACAGTGGGCCTCAGTCCTCTTAGGAACATTGTGATCTAGAACAGGGTCAGTGGGACATAAAACTCTCAAAACTCAGGGACTCTGAGGACCCATTGTTCCTTGGTGACATCCATGATCTTGGGTGAGACATTTAGACCAACTAGGTCTCAACTTCTTCCTCTACAAAAATGGAGAAAGCATCATTGACCTAACACATAATTTTCAGGGGTAAGAAGGAACCCAAATTTAGGCACGTTGATCAGATTTGTTGGTGCTGCTAAACTAAGTCAGGGGGATAGTTAGCCAGCCTACCGGAGGATAGAGTGAAGATTCTGAAAGTTCTTGACAGACTAAAACACTGGGCTGAATCTAGTAAGAATTCAATTCAATAAGAATTCATAAAGTGTCTACTATATGCAACACACATGGGGATACAAAGGAGAAATGAAAATTAGCATCACAAGAACAAGACAGGAAAGACATCTTTAAAAAAAAAAACTCACGGTATTTGAGTGGACCTTAAGGTCAATGAGTCAACAATGTGTCATGGGCAAACCAGAGGGAGATCTTGAGCCCCATCGTGGTGGAGCAGGCAAATAACAACACCAGGACTCCCCACCTGCCTTAGCATAGCCAGGGGAAGTGGCAGACTCCAGCTCTGAGAATCACCCATGCTTCAGTGTAACTCTGGGGAAACAGGTGTCCTTCAGGGGCCAGACCTCCACAGCATAGCCCCAGGCAAACAGGTAGATACCAACCCTATGAGTGCCTAAGCACCAGCCACCAGCACCTGGCGTCAGTGCTTCAGTGTAGCCCCAGACAAACAAGCAGCCTCCAGAGGCCAGACCACCACGGGAGTCAGTGCAGCCCTGGGAAAATGCAGAAACACCCCACTGGCCTCAGCACATGCCAGACACCACCTCTGGGACCCTAGCTCAGCACTACGTAAGCTGCCAAACTCCTCCAGCCTCCAGTAGCACCAGCCACTCCCCCACCCCCTCAGTGTAGCACCAAACATGAGGGTCCCCCATGGGCTTCAGGGCAACATCGGTGCAGCACCATGTAAACAGCCAAGCCTTGCAACTACTGGTGCAAGAAGCCTGAGACAGTGCCCCTTGCAACCTGGGAGCAGACTTCAAATTTAAAAGAAAGGAAAAAGGCCAAAAAAAAAAAAAGATGAGCAAAAAGCAACAACAAAAAAGAGAATCTGACCACAGAAAATTGTTATGGTGACTGGGAAGACCAAGGCACAAACTCAGAAGAGGACAACAATGTCAAAACACCTATGGGCAAAACCCCAAAGAAAAATGGGAAGTGGTCTCAAGCACAGAAAGAACTCATGGAAGAGCTCAAAAAGGAGCTTAAAAATCAAAGAAAAATTGGGAAAAGAAATGAGAGTGATGAAAGAGAATTATGAAAAAAGAGTCAACAGCTTCTGTTTCAAAAGTAGAATTTGCCAAATGGAAAAGGAAGTACAAAGGCTTACTGAGGAAAACAGCTCCTTAAAAGTTAGAATTAGGCAAGTGGAAGCCAATGACGCTAAGAGACATTAAGAATCGATAAACATATACAAAAGAATGAAAAAATTGAAGAAAATGTAAAATACTTCATTGGAAAAACAACTGAACTGGAAAATAGATCCAGGAGAGATAATCTCAGAATAAATGGATTACCTGAAAGCCATAATCAAAAGGAGTGTAACCAAGAATCACCTACCCAGTGAAATTCAGCATAATACTCCAAGGGAAAAAAGTGGTCATTCAATAAAATAGAATATTTTCAAGCTTTCATAAGGGGAAGGCCAGAATTGAACAAGAAAAACAAAACAAAACAAAACAAAACGAAAAACTCCTTACTCTCATCAGTATTGGTTCAAAGAGAGAATCAGTTGAATATAAGAATCTGTCTTACAGGACAGGAAAGTAAGAGGGGAGAAGATTAAGTAAAGGCAGGGTGGGGCTGGGAGGGGAACTGACAGAAGAGAGGGCAGAACAGGGGAGGTGGTAGACAGAAGCAAAACACTGATGAGGAGGGAAAGGGTGAAAGGAGAGAGAGGACAAACAGGAAGAAAAACAGGATGGAGGGAAATACAGTTAGTAATCATAATTGTGAATGTAAATGGGAAGAACTCTCTCATAAAATGGAAGTGGATGGCAGAGTGGATCAAAAACCAGAATCCTACAATATGTTGTTTACGAGAAACACACCTGAAGTAGAGAGAAACACATGGAGTAAAGGTAAGGGACTGGAACAGAATCTATTATGCTTTAGCTGAATTAAAAAAAAAAAAGCAGGGGTAGCAATCCTGACAAAGCAAAAGCAAAAATAGATCTAATTAAAAGAGATAAGGAAGGAAACTTCATCCTGCTAAAAGGTACCATAGACAATGAAGTAATATCAATACTAAACATATATGCACCAAGTGGCACAGCATCCAAATTCTTAAAGGAGAAGTTAAGTGAGTTACAGGTTCATGACCAAACAAAAGATAGAGAGCATTACAAAATATAAAATAGATAATTTTGATTACATTAAATTAAAAAGTTTTTGCACAAGCAAAACCAATGCAACCAAGATTAGAAGGAAAGCAAAAAGCTGGGAAACAATCTTTGTAGCAAGTGCCTCTGATAAAGGTCTCATTTCTCAAATATATAGAGAACTGAGTCAAATTTATAAGAATACAAGTCATTCCCCAGTTGATAAATAGTCAAAGGATATGAACAGGAAGTTTTCAGATGAAGAAATCAAAGCTATCTATAGGCATATGAAGAAGTACTCTAACTCACTTTTTGTTTTTTGTTTGTTTGTTTTTGCTAGGCAAAGGGGTTAAGTGACTTGGTCACCCAGCTAGCAAGTGTCAAGTGTCTGAGATCAGATTTGAACTCAGATTGTCCTGACTCCAGAGCTGGTGCTCTATCCACTGTGCCACCCAGTTGCCCCACTCTAAGTCACTTTTGATTAAAGAAATCCAAATAAAAACAATTTTGAGGTACCACCTCACACCTATCTGATTGGCTAATCTGACAAAAAAGGAAAATGATAAATGTTGGAGAGGATGTGGGAAAATTGAGACACCAATGCACTATTGGAGTTGTGAAATAATCTAACCATTCTAGAAATCAATTTGGAACTATGCCCAAAAGACTATAAAACTGTGCATACCCTTTGATCCAGCAATACCTTTACTGGGTCTGCATCTCAAAGGGATCATTAAAAAAAGGAAAAGTACCTATATGTGCAAAAATATTTATAGCAGTCTTTTTTTTCTGGTGGCAAAATATTGAAAATTGAGGGGATCCCATCAATTGGGGAATGGCTGAACAAGTTGTGGTATGTGAATGTAAGGTAATACTATTGTGCAATAAGAAATGAACAGGCAGATTTCAGAGAAACATGGAAAGACTTGTATGAACCGATGCAAAGTGAAATGAGCAGAACCAGGAAAACATTGTACACAGTGTCAGCAACATTGTGTGAGCATCAACAATGAATGACTCAGCTCTTCAGCAACACAATGATCTAAAACAAGTACAAAGGACTCACAAAGGAAAATACTATCCATGTTCAGATAAAGAACTGATGGACTCTGATTGCAGATTGAAGCATACTTTTTTCACTTCATTCTTTTTTGTTTTTTTTTCTTTTGATCTGTTTCTTCTTTCACAAGTGTGACTAATGTAGAAATAGGTTTTACATGATAGCACATGTATAACCTATATCAAATTGCCTGCCATTTTAGGAAGAGGAAGAGGGTGGGGGGGGGAGAAAAATTTGGAACTCAAAATCTTATAAATATAAATGCTAAAAATTGTCGACATGTAATTGGGAAAAAATAAAAAATACTATTAAAAAAAAGACAATGTGTCATAGCATGGAAGAAAGCAAATGTAAATTCAGATTACATTAGGAGAGATCTATTGCCCAGGACTAGGAAAGTCCCTCTGTGTTCTGTCTTAGTCAGACCGCTTCTGGACCATGGGTGGTTAGACCACCCAGGACAGTTCAGTTCTGGATGCCATAGGAAGGACTTTGATAAGCTAGAATGTGCCTAGAGAAGGGGAACCAGGACAGTGAAGGGCCTCAAGGTGATGCCATTTGAGAATTAGAAGGTACGGGTGACATTTATTTTGGAGAAGAGGAGAAGAGTTTGTGTATTGGTCTTCCCAGTCACTGTAATAACTATGGTCAGATTCCTTTTGTTGTTGTTGTTTTTTGCTCATCATTTTTTCCCCCTGAGATTATCTCTTCTTCCCTTAAAGGGAGTGGGATAGCCATCTTCCAATATTTGAAAGATGACACTTGGGAGAAGGAATAGACTTGTTCTGCTTGGTTCTAGAGGGCCTACCTGGGAACAAAGGGTAGAGGTTACAAAGGGATGGGTTTAGGTTGAGTTCAACATCAGCAAACAGAGCTATTCGTAGGTAACATGGGCTGCTTGTGGTGGAGAGGGTTCTCCTTTTGGGAGGTCTTCAAGTAAAGACTAGATAATCACTCATTGCATATGTTGTAGAGAGGATTTTTTTTTCAGATGTAAGTTGAAATTTTTTTTATTTTTTACTTTATTAGGTAATTGGGGTTAAGTGACTTGCCCAGGGTCACATAGCTACTAAGTGTCAAGTGTTTGGTCTGAGGCCAGATTTGAACTCAGGAACTCCTGACTTCAGGGCTGGTGCTCTATCCACTGTGCCACCTAGCTGCCCCTGTAAGTTGAATTTGAGGCCCCTGAGGTTCCTTTTAGCTTTGAGGTTCTGTGATG